GATGGGCTCGGCCTTGAAAGAGAATCGCCAATAATAGCAAGCCGCCGATCACATGAGATACGGCCGTGCCGATTGCAATTCCACTCCAGCCAAGTTTAGGAATGGGGCCAACACCAATCGCCAGCGCGGCACTGATGGCGATGTTCAGAATGTTGACGATTGTCATGACGATGAGCCCGGTAACCGTATCGCCGGCGCCATGCAGGCAAGCAGTCGTTACCGCGATCATCATGAACCCTGGAATCGCGGGAATGAGAATGCGGAGGTAAAGCAACGCCATGTCGTACGCTTTTCCTTCCAACTGCATCGCGGCAATGTAGTCGTCGGCCAGGAACCACAGCACAAAGGTCGTGATGACCGAAAGGATCAGTCCAAGCGAGATCGCTTGTTCGGTTGCGAACTCGGCATCCTTCCAGTTATTGGCTCCGATATTACGANNGCACCGATGCCGATCGAAGCACAGATAACAAAGATCATCCAGCAGGTGTAAGACATCAGCCCTACGGCAGCGACCGCGGGAACCGAGTTGGCTTCTGACAAACAGTTTCCGGCAAGCCACGTGTCGGTCGTGCCGACGCAGAACTCGAGAAACTGTTCCGCAAGAGCTGGCGTTGCGATCGTCATCACCGCGCTGAGATCCCCCTTGGACGTCATAGGCGTCCGCGGCGCAGTTTGCTCGGCCTGCGTCATCGACATGGGGAGGCGGTCCGTACGAAAGGGCGCAAGATGGAAAACTGGATTATAGACCGCCGAGGCCGTTTCGTGACGGGGGCATTCCGTTAAGCGTCGGCGATAGGCGAGAGCGTGTCAGCGGCGACCAAGATTTTGTCGACATTGGGGAACTCGGCCGAAGAGCTCGGACGAAAGTCCCAAACGATCTGCCCGTTGGTATCGATCAGATAGGTACCGGAAAGCTGCATCAAATCCCCTTTGGGTGGGCCGATGCCGCTTCGGGTGAGGGCCTTTAAGCCTTCCCACCAAAGGTGTGGCCCGGCCACTTGCCAGACATTGCCGCGAGGGACTTCAAACGCTTTGTAGACGCTTTGGTCGACATCGGCGTAGACAGGGAATTTCAGCTTGAGCACTTCCCGAAACTTCCGAGCCTGATCGGCGTCGCCCATGATGACGAGGGCCACGTNNGCCGCGAGAACTGAAGTAGCAGCGGCCGGTCGGCGTATAGCGTAGCCAACGAAACCTGCTGACCATCCTCGGCAAGGAGGTTTCCGGAAGGAGCAGGGATCGAGGGGGCGAAGTGCGACATTACTTTTTGCGGGAAGGATCTTTTGGCGTACGTTCGGCGTCTTTGCTGAAAGTCTCGAATTCCGTACGCATCATGTTACCTAATTTTACCCGATCGACACCGAACCAGGTGTTTCGCGGAGCCGAGGCATCCAGCTTTTCTCGCTTGGAGTAAATGTCCGTTAGTTCCGCCAGTTTCTCGCGTTTCACGTTCGGATCGGCGGTCGCTTTCAGTTGGGCTTCGGTGTAAATCGCTTGCACATTCAGCAGGACACCTTCGGGGACGGCCTTCTCTTCGACACGTTCTTCCAGGTAGTCGGTGAATAGCTTCAGCGATTCCAACTGCTGGTCCTGGAGGTATTCAAGATAGCCGACCAAATCGTTCGGAAGCTGATGAACCCCCGGCAGCACACTGTAACGTTGAGCGGATGCGAGGCCTGGAAACATCAGCAAAGCGAGAAGAGTAAGAACGGCGGTTCGCATGATAGCACCCTGGGGTCGTGAGAGTCTCGAAGCCCCTATCGTAACGAGATACCCCACGACTGACCTAGTCCAATGTCAGCCTCTATTTCCAGGCTAAATGCTGGAAATGGATTGCCAAGAATAAAAAAGTTGTGTTATCGGAAATATTGCCTTAGGTTAAATGCATCCCTTAGTCCATGTGAGTGGGTCAGTTATCGCTCCTAACGCGTAGATCTGCCTGCCTGGGGAATTCCTATTCTTTATATCGGGACACATTCGATGCCCATTTCATCTCCTCGACGGATGCGCGGCTTTACCTTGGTCGAACTGCTGGTCGTCATTGCGATTATTGGCGTTTTAATCGCCCTGCTGTTGCCGGCCGTCCAACAGGCACGCGAGGCGGCTCGGCGGATGCAGTGTAGTAATCAGCTGAAGCAGCTCGGTTTGGCGATGCACAACTATCACGACACCTATCAAGTCTTTCCGCCAGGTAGTGTGAATCTGAGTACCACTTCGGCGGCAAACCAGAATTTGACCAACTGGGCGATTGCCATTTTGCCGTACATCGAGCAGGCCGCACTTTACGAACAGTATGACCACAGCGTCCACAATTCGCACGCGAGTAACGAGGACGTGCTGAAGACGATTCTTCCCGCGATGCTTTGCCCATCCGATGTTGGTTCGGAGGTGCTCGTCACGCCTAGCCAGTTGGTCGGCACCGATATTGCCCCAGGCTCTTATAAGGGAAACATTGGACGTCGGTTCCGGGGAGCGAACGGCTACTTCGATTATCCACCCTATGCTGGGACTTATACAGCGGCGGAAAGAGCATCGATCGGTCCCCTGCACGTGTCTGGCGTCAATGGGCTGACTTGCGAGCGGTTCGCTACGATCACCGATGGCTCGACGAATACGCTTTTAATCGGGGAATATCACACGAAAACGCGTCCAGACTGCAAGACTTTCTGGGCAAGTTCGCAGAACTTCCACAACTTGGCAGCCGCTCAGCCAGAGTCTTATACCCGGATTCCTGACTGGGAAGCATGCTATGCTGCGACCGGCAACAGTCAGCATTGGAAGTGCTATCGCGCGTTTGCGAGTCTACATGCCGGCGGCACGGTGAATTTCGCCATGTGCGATGGCTCGGTCACAAACATTCCTCAAACGATCGACAACGTAGTCTTCGAGGCACTGTCGACCATTTCCAGAAACGAAGTGGCATCGCTTCCTTAGTTCCGACGTTCGGAAGTTGCAGGAACTTTACGGAGCAAGGAGTTATTGGATGCAATATCGTTTCGGATTGGTCGTTTCGCTGCTGCTACTGAGCGGTTGCTTCGGTAGCGATAAAGTCGTTCCGGTTTCAGGCGTAGTAACACTCGACGGCGAGCCTCTGTCTGGGGCTGTCGTCGGATTCGAGCCGATCGCGGTCGAGGGGCAGCTTGAAGCTGGGTATGGTTCGTATGCCAAGACAGATGACGACGGGCGCTATCAACTTCTTTCGCTAAAAAAGGAAGATGGCGCCCTCGTGGGGCGGCATCGCGTGTCGGTCAGTACGGTCGTCGGTCGCGAAGGCCCAAATGGCGAGATCCTGGGCCTCACGAAGGAGCGTGTTCCCTCTCGCTACAACAACGATACCGAGCTGGTCATCGAAGTTCCGCCTGGGGGCACCGATCAGGCCAATTTGGAACTGCAGCGGCGGTAAGTTTCGATCTTCTTCCTATCTTCACCCTGTGCCGCTGGTTTACCCGTACTGTAGCGGGGGAAACTGGGCAGTCTTGCGTTGACACAGCGATTTAAGACACCCTAAAATGTTGGGTTTTCCCGGACACAGGGTGCCTTGACAGGGGAAACCGGCTTCTGGCTCGGTAGTTCCCTCGCTGCTCTCGTTCGAAGTTAGAAGAACCTCGGAGCTTGCTCCACTCAGAAGAGATTCATCCTTGAAAGA